GTTGGTTATTGTTGGCAGATTTGTACATAAACCAAGGTAAAAGTGACCAAGCAACATCCGTTCTGCGCACAATTCTTCAACATAATGCGGTTGGTTAAAGAGGGTTTATATGAACATGCTGATGCGTTTTTTTAGATTCATGAATGTTTTTTGACGCAAATGCATTACTGTTATCATATTTTTGTCAGTCACTCTTTTCGCAGTCAATTGCTATCGATGCATAGAACGGTGCCCTTTCGTCATGGTGTTGCTCTCCTTCTTGAATTCAACTTCAATCGCTCACTTACCAAGTGAAGTTCACATCTTCGTGAACGTATTCAAAACTCAAACAATTCAGCATCTCATCAAATAATGATAATTATCAATTTCAATCCAGATCATATGAATTGCTGATCATGGATAGATAGGTAAAAATACGAATATTCAGAGTTCAATAAAAGCATTCGAATATATGGGATATCTGCGGGAACATGAGCAGAAATGGATCGATGCGGCAGCAAATTATGAGGAAGCGTGGAGACTGAGCAGTCGTCGCAACCCTTCTATAGGTCAATATGTATCACTTATTAGTTCTGTTCACTGCCCTGATTCTTATTTGATACTTCGTGACAAAAGTGTGCTGATCGGTTGATTGCACTACGAATCAATTGCACTACTGATTTGAAAATGCTTTCTTTGTTCCATGTTCATTCTGTACTCACACTTTTTGAACAGCGAACACTGCCCCCTAAAACAGTTGAATAGTCACTGACAGTTTTGATTACGGGAAACTATTGAAACTGTCATTCGTAAACGAACCAGTCGTTTGATCAGTTATAATAATAACGTTCTCTCATCACAAAAAACAATAATAATGGAGAATACTTTCAGGATTTAAACTAGCATACAACTACTTGAAATGTCGCAGACTATTCGACTGTATTGATGTTTGTCATCGTGTGCTCGCTCTTTATCCCAATTATCCGCGTATCAAACGTGATATCATGGATAAGGCAAGGGCAAATATCCGAATGTGACAACGACTCGTATCCATGAGAACTGGAAAAACAGTTAATCCATATCACTAATTCACAATCGTCATCAACTGCGTTCCTCATAAAATTAAGATGTACATTTGAATGAACACATCAATTCAATAAAGATCCATCATTGTTCATAACAACGACTTGTTTGGGATGGTAACCCAACTGTTTACATGATAACTTATCATTCGTGTAGCATATATACATAAAATACAAACGTTTCAAGACACGAACGATTCATCAAAAAGTTGATCGAAATACAGTGAACTGGATGATTGAAATCGACTCATTCCAAGACAGAGTTCATCCAGTTTAACAAAAGTTCAATTTGTAACAAAAGCAACCGAGATCCGTGCGTATTCCAATCATTTGCTTGCAATATGCAAACACTTCTGAACGACAAAATTACACAACGTACGAAGTTAAGTTTGATAAATAAATAAGAGATTGAAATNAGCAACAATGTGAATGGTAACAAAACAGTGCAAAATCAAAAGCCTTCACACACATTGAAATCTTAGATAAAACACAACAAATGAGGAATGAGAGTGATGAGAATGTCATATACATATAACATCATCATTGGCGGACTCATCATTAGAATCAGATGAATCGATATGAGTTCTTTTGCGAGTGGAGAGGTTTGGTGGTCGATTTTGTTGGGAGGATGATTGCTGGAGGTTGACGAGAATTTTGTGAGTGTGATCGTTCTTATGGATAGCACTTTTCGGACCTGATGTCACATAACTGATGATTGAATAGGGAGTGAAGTGGAAATCCTCCTGGAATCAGTTATTTTTAAAGAACTGTGCACGATATTGCAAACAGCCACTACTGTGCTTGGTCATGTGTTTATGAGACGCACACTTCAAGAAAATTCATTTGAGATGAGAAAGACTTAAAATTTATCGTTAGTTTTGCGTAATCTCCTACTCGAATTCGCATCTCGACTAAGAATTGCGGCAGCCGTAATTCAAATAAAGCTTTGATACGTTTTACTCAAACCATTATTTGAACATAAATCTATTTCACAATTACTGTCATATAATGCAAAAGTCACATGGATTTGAGATCGTCAATATCGAAGAGCGAACTATTTTCAGCGAACTTGCAAAATTTCAGTCCAGCGAAACGAATTTATTGCAAAACTCCTTCGCATTAACAATTCACAGATTCGATTCCATTCGTCTGCAGTGCTTCCAGACCGAGAATACAAGTGAATGAAGACAAATATAAAGAAGCTACAAACTTGAAGGTATCCAAGTGAGAGGAGATGAGCCAGAACAATCTCGAGGTATTCCCTCGTTAACGATCGCTCTCTCTTGGCAGTTAGTTCGGTCAGTTTCAAACCCGTTATACGCCCACTTGAATCATTTTTCGCGATTGCTAGCTGCTTAAATCGACAACAATATCACTATTTTCAGCAACGTTACAACTGCACAACCAAACTTGCGAATACGACTGTACTATACTCCAATCAATCCCAAT